TTAAAAATTACAACGCAATAACTGGCTGTGCAAAGCGAAGAGCACACGGGGCTGCATCAAGTAGGTATTTTAAAGCTGCCTTTAATTTTTCATGTATATCTAAATGTTTCTATACCATTTTTTCCAGCTCTGCTCACCCCTGTCCTCTTTGGTGCAATGCTGCTTTTGACTAATGGCTTTGAGGCTACGAGTTCCAGCTACCCGCCCCCCCCTCTTTTTAACATGCACACCTTTAGGAGATGCACTAGTAAAGGAGTTTGTGAAATAAATTAAAAAAAGAGTGGCATACAGAGCCTTCAAGTGTGTTTAACCACCAGCTTTGTTTAGCCCAGGCTCCTTTGCGATTGTACTCAGAACGCCCATAATAAAGCAGTTAGCTTATATTTCCAGCTATATATATTTTACTGCCTAGATGCAAGACAGATGCGTGTGTAACCATATACACAAGCTCACCGCGGACCTCTTCTGCACGAGAGAAAAAAAAAAAAAAAAGGATGGATGGGGCATTTAAGACAGCTCTTTCCATCCTGTCAGCCTTCTGGGATGGCTTACAGCTGGTCCCGAGGTACCGAGCTCCTACGCGGCCGCTCTGGCTGTTCCATACATCAGTACAGCAAAAAATGCTGAATTACTGGGGAGAAATGAGAGGGCAGGAGGAAAAAAACCAGAGATATCAGCAGGCAAAGGGCTGCCCTCAGAGGAAAGGCTAGCAGCAGGGTGGGGACGATTAAAGAATTGAATGGGCAGCGATAGAGGGGAAGGGTTTATTTGGGCTCAGGGATTAGATTTATTATTCTCTTTCGTTCGCTTCGGCATTTGAAATTCAGGGCGCTCAAACCCAGCCCCAGGTGCAAACCAGCTCTGGCTCTTCCTTCCCACGAGCCACCAGAAAAAGCCTTGCAAAACCCTGTAGGTCGGCACCGCCAGGCTCCAGAGGACCACGCACGAGGGGCAAAGTGACATTAAAACCCCACGGCAAAGGCACCTCTGGCAAGTTTTAGAGGGGAAGTCCCAATTCAAAGATCTCCTCCCCAAGTGTTTGCTTCCTCTAAAGGAGACTTCAGCGTAGACTGCCCATCCTCACCGTAAATGAGCAACCTGGAGCCACAGAATCACAAAATGGTTTGGGTTGGAAGGGATTTTTGAAG